CCGCTTCTGTCCAAAACAAACGAGGCACGAGCTACTCACAAAGACCCACCTATGTATCCTTGTATTTCCTACCATTTATGAACTACTGAAGTCCTCTTGGGGATCTACCTCGTACGAATAAAAAGAAACAAACTGCCTGCTTTCTCTTTGCGAACGTGCGCAGGCAGTGTTGGTGTTGGCCAATATTGAATAGGAAACCCACCAGGTAAGTTGGCCATCATCTCCAGTATTAACTCATATTCTATATCGCACACTATTGGCAATTACTGTAAATAGGGTATCTATAAATGCTTTGCTCGGTCGTCCGATGCAAGGCTCTACAACAATCCTGGGCCCGGCGCGAGCGTCGATCATGAAACTCTGCAGGATGCATGCCTTCAGCCCTGATGCGCGCCGGAATGCCTCAACAGGACACACCGCCAGAAAACATGTATCGACATAGAAACAGCATTTTTTTTGCTAATTAACATAGCAATCATTGCTAAATGGGAAAATGTATGTTTCCGTTCCCCCTATTTTCGGTGCTCGAGCGCCTCTTGCCGCTCTCGGCGAGGTTGGGCAGCTATCAGACGCTCAGCCTTCCGGCTTTGAAGTACCTACTCCACAGCATGAGCTTTTTATCCACAATGATAACTTATCATCAGGAAGACACACGCTCAAGTTTACTAGGGGAACAGTTACAGTAGTTTCTCTGCTTGGCTGCGTTGTTGGCGTGGCATTCCTGGTTTTTCTATGCTTCAGAGCACTGACGTCCGGCAGGAGTAATAAGAATCATGGAATAACCACACGAAGGGTTGCTGAGGGAGGACGGGAATCTTGCTCTGTGAGCTACCATGTTGAGAGAACTGGACACACTGCAGCCTCGCAGGCTTTGCCCGTGCCCGCCGCCGTCGGCGGGAGATACCGCTTGACCTGCGCTGCCTCTGACATGTTCCACTTGATCTATTCCAGATTTCCGAACACACGACCTGCCTTTTCACAAACGCAGGAAGACTCTATAGCCGTAAATACATTGCTGCACAGCAACGCAGAACACCGAGCACCTTCACAAGCAGGGTTCATGCATAAAGGCCCTGAGCAGAAGCGTCATCTGGCCTCGGTGCATTTGACGGTGCAGGCTTCGTGAGAAGCCCTCTTGCGTGCGACCTGTATCTTGGCAGCTACTGAAATGAACATGCGTTTTGCTGTGTATATGCCGTAGCTGCAAACGGTGCCAGCTCATGCTCTTCGTTAGTCGCTTGCTCATGCTAGCTGAATTGGAGACGTGTATTCCGTGATGCTTTTTTTGTTTATTTGGTGGTTTGCGTTGAGCGGACAAGGGATGCATCTGCGCTACAGCATTGTGCAGACGACCTCCCGGAGTGCGTAGGCCTCGTGGGAACCTATTTAGGGTTCCCCTGCGGCTCTGCAGGGTGCTACTGTAGGTCTAGGAAATAGGTTGCGTTTCCCGGTAGCATGCGTAGCCCCCCCTACAAAAAGTGAAGAATTGCACGCCTGCGGGACTTCTCTGGACGCAATGCTGGGCAGCGACAATTCCTAGCCATGAATTTCAAGCCCTTGACAGTGGCAAGTGGGGCCGTTCTGCAGCCAGACACCGCTTGACTAGCGCGTTCAGGAACTCCGGTGTTGTGGGAAGCCTCGCACATGACACTAGTTGCTAAATGTAGCGTCACAAGGCACCGGATGCGGGCATTGTCGAGTCGCAGGGCTGTCTTCTGTGCTTCACAACTGGCTGCCTGTAGCTGAGACGATACTTAGGACCGTTGGCTACCTGATTACCGCAACGTGCAGCAGTCGGAAATTGAAGCCGCACAGTTATGCTTCCATGAGTTGGTGCTTATTCGAGATTTAGAAGAGCGTTTTGTGCAAGGCTTTGCCTGGCTGCCTGTATAGGACCATTGACTTCGCCTTGACGTTTCCTTGGCTCCCTAGCCATGCATACAGGGACGTGGACAGCTTTTGAATGGAGTACATTGGAGGTGGATCCACAGATTGTACTGCTCTATCGGTGTGCCATGGTGCGCGTGACCAAGTATCCGTGGATGCTTTCGAGCAAGCGCGTGTGTACATGTGTTAACGAAGGGTGTGGCGGCGTTCAACTCGCTGTCTCCATGCTGGCCTGCATGCCACGTAGTGTACACTGTTGTGCAGAATGTGCGTGCACGCACAAGGTGAAGCGTCATCGATTAATTGTTTTGCTTTGCCTGGCCAGTGTGGGCAAGCTGAGCGGAGAGCTCGTAAATTGCATAGTGTGAGGTGATAACGGTTATGTCTGTCAGGAAGGTTTGTGCGAGAGAGAACATAAAGGCGTGTGTCCGGCTGCGTCAAAACCTTGGCTGAAATTGAGCGCTTTCAACTGGTCTGGTGCACACGGTTGTTCGTGCACCTTCGGGGAGGCAGGCGGCTACTGCGGACGGCGAAGCATATCTTCCTGGTTTGTATAATAATTGCTTTTGGCACCTTGGCTGTTACACAGTATGGATAACTGAGTGAAGGCGTGTGGGGAGTTTGGAGTGGAAGACACTGAACGTTCGCGGTCAGGGCTAGAGTGCCTGTATGGTGAGCGCCTGATAACCAGTCAGCAATTGGATTGCCCCATGCATTTTTGCCACTGATTTGCAGGTGCAGCTCAGCCTGTCTTGCGGGGGACCTATCCGCGTTGTTCTAGCCGTCGTTTTAGCCTGCGAGGGACCCTATTTAATTCACATTGCAGGCGCAGGAGTTCCAAACAGGCAGCACTCCATCTTGTTTTGCCGTTTTGCATACTGTATGATTGAAAGCAACGTCAACTCGCCAAGCACCTTCATAAGACCGGACATGTAACTGTGGAGGTATACCACAACCGACCTACCTGGCCTACGTGTATTCGGCACTCCAGTATGCTTGACCAACCATGTAGCGTGCTATTTACATTATGCCACCGAATAAAATGCTCACGGCGTAGCCCGCATGACGCTCCAGCGGGAACCGGTGGTGCGTCACTATCTTTCTCTTGTCGGTTGTCTGTGGGAACTGAATTGGACATTAGCATTTCATGCTACTCTGGGGACTGGTTTGCCAATTTGCAGGACTAGGCAGCATTAAGGGATGGCACGCTGCGTGCATTGAAGGGAAATCTAACCGCCTCCGCAAGCGCCAATGGATTCCAGCAAGTGCGTCGCCAGCACTTCAAGTTTTGGGCTGCAGATGCACTGGCCTAAGGGCTACTTAGTGGGGTAGACCTGACACAATTCTTCAAGCTGGAGCTCACGTGAACGAATGATGTTGCCAAGAGATGCTCTTTGTAATCTGCAGGATTGGTTGGGGCTCTGCAAGCACCAGCGCCAACCGTAACACGGTTTTGCGCATGGCGTTAAACGCACTCAATTTTAGGGGTATCGCCGACGCATCGACGTTATATGAGCTTCTGAGGCACGCATCAAGGAACACGAGGGAACAGTATGCAAGGAAGATGGTAGACGTTATCCACGGGTTGTGTAGGTCCAGCACTGTCGTTTTGTGCGTGACCAGGTATGCACTGGTGCGTTTGAGCAAGCGGTGCGCGCATGTGCGTGGGCGGTAATGGAGGCTGCGTACTGCTCGCTGGCTTATGCTAGGCTGTGTAGCTTTCAGCGTATATTGCCACGCAGGACGTGCCCATAAATGCAAGATGAAACACAGCTGCTTGGTAGTCACTCCACTGGATGTGGCAGCTGCAGCTTTGTGTATTGACGTGCGGGTGCAGGGAAGCTAGGTGGGGGTAATAAAGCATAGAGTATATGCCAAAGGAAACGGTGGGTTTTTGAGTATGGGTTTTGTTTAGGAAGGAGCTGCAGTGGTATGCTGCGAGTTGGTTAGGAGGCTTTGGCTGCCCGATATTTGTTGTAGTGGATAGTTTGGCATACACCAAGACCGGCAGCTAATGTTGGAGGAAGGTAGGTTTTGTTTGGGCTTGGCGAATTTCGTCACGCATGTGTGAAGTGCTGTTTATGTGTAGCCTGTGCGCATCGTCCGTGACTCTGGCTGCCTTTGGGGTAGAGAGAGCCGCCTCCGTGGCAAGAATGTATTGCAGGAAGTGCGTCGCCAGAATGTCAGAATTTGGGGCCCACGTGCACAGGTCAAGGGACTGTTTTGTGAAAAGAGCTGATACAGTTTCTCAAGCTGCAGCTCACGAGAATTGGTGAAGGTGGCAGTAGATGCTCTTAGCAATGCGCAGGGCTGGTTGGGGCTCTGCTAGCACCAGCGCCATTTGCTATATTTGCGCTGTTTGGCACGTGACGTTTCCGACGTTGAACAGGCAGACCAGAATGGAGCACTTGCTGCGGAAAGGCATGCGGTTTTTGTAGAATGCCCTAGCCATGGCGTTGTGCCATCGTTGCGGTTGAGCGCTGCCTACGAATGGAAACATTCAACAGGGGTGGGTTATAGCATATGCGGCAGTAGGTTGACAGGGGGGTTATCGGCTACGTGGAGCGGGGGTGAATTGAACGTCTAAGAACTCAGCGGCGAGAGATGATGCGAGGCCTTTTCACGGACACTATATTGGCCCGCTTTCGCACTTTGCATTTATGCGCTGGACGTGGGCTTGCCTCGAGTTGAAAGTGTTGCAGCGCCTGCGCCGGTGACGTCTGGTTGTGCCAAGTGTAGGCAAGGGAAGCTTGCACGCATTTAGGAGCACACGTGTGCGTAAGCGAAAGACAGCTGTTGCCCACATTTGCTAATGATGTCTGACGTAGACGAGCGGCTGGAGTTGCACTGTTTGGAAGAGAGCCATGCGCACAAGCAGCAGCCGTGGAGGTTTTGCAGGGGAATATTCTGCGTCGGTGGTAGCAAAGCATTTGCGCCTGAGGCGAGTTTTTCGTGTGTGACATGGTGCACGCTGGCTTGTCGAACAGGCGGTGCGTTTTGCCACCAGACCTCAGGGCAGAGACTCATTGTAGGAAAAGGCGAGCTCACCGGGAATAATGATAGCAAGGACGGCTTCTGCATTTGCCTGAGGAGGAGCAGCCAAGCTGCTTAACATGGGCGCATTCGTCAATAGAGCGGGGTGCGACAGTTGCAGGTTTTGCAGGGGAACGTTCTGCGCCTTTGTTACGAAAGCACTTGAGCCTGAGGCGAGTTTTTCGTGTGCTACGTGGTGCATGCTGGCTTGCCGAACAGAGGGTGGGTCTTCACACTAGATCGCTGAGCGGAGAAGCATTGTAGCAAGAGGCGAGCTCACTGGGAACGATAAAAAGCATGGCTCTGCATTTGGTTGAGGAGGCCCTGCACAGTCATCATACTTAGCATGGGCGCATTTGTGAATAAAGAAGCGTGCACGAGGTGCTGTGTAGGCCACGCCAATTACATCATGGCAGCTACATGACTGCGCATGCATTTGCCATTTTGAGTGCCTCAGCAGCAACGAGCCACATCTGTGTACTCTTTTCGTTGGTGTGTTGGCTGCGGCAGCTGCTGAAGATTTCAATTCCAGGGCTACGTTGGGAGCTTGCAGGAGTGTGAGGCTGGCGCGTCGATCGGAACTTGGAATGCAGCTGCTCTCGCAGCAGTGTTTGGAAGGCGACACAGTTTGTGCATCGCGTGTTGACGTGACGCAAAGATAGCGGGATGGGTCTGCTGTCTTTGGAGAGTGCTGATGAGGCTCTGCAGAGTATAAGCTGTTTTCCTGTCTTGCAGAGATGCTCAGCGGAAGGCGGAACACTAGCCTCGTATAGAACGCTTGGGCATGTAGTGAGTGGCAGCGCACGTGACAGTTTAAGGCTTGCCAGGCCGTAGAAGTGAGTGGAGGGGCATATGGCAGTTGGGTGCTGCTATGGTTGCGCACTCAGCTTCACCTCGAGTGTGCAGAACCGCGCGCATGGCACTAGGTGCCAATAGGAGTGTTTCAAGGCATTGGGTGCCGACGTTGATGAGTCGCAGGGAGATCTGCAGGGGCGTTGAGTGCTGTGCTGCATTGGGTGCTGTGTTTCACAGTTGGGTGCGTGCAGGTGTGAGGTGGTTCTTGGGTTCGTTGGCGAGCGCGCCACCATCATAAGGAGTGTCAGGGAGCTAAATGTAAACATGTGTGATATGATGGGTTGGTGCTCAGTCCACAGTCGCAATCCCGTTTCGCGCATGGCGTTGAACTCATACATAGGAGTATAGGCCGTATAGGCGACGCGCCGACGTTATATGGGCTTCTGAGGCACGCATGAAGAAAGGCGAGCGAACAGTATGTAGGGAAGATAGTAGACGCTTATGCAGGAGTTGTGTAGGTCGAGCGCTGTGTCGTTTTGCGCATGACCAGGTATCTAGTGATGCATTTGAGCAAGCGATGCGTGCGTGTGCGTGCGCGGTAGTGGAGGCTGCATACTGTTCGCTTGTTCATGCTACGCTGCGTAGCGTTCAGCGTACATTGCCACACAGAAGGTGCGCATAAATGCAAGATGCGGCGCTGGTGCGTGAAAAGTGCTGCAGTGGATTTGGCAACTGTAGCGTTGTGTATTGACTGGGGGATGCGGGGCAGGTAGGTGGGGGTAGTATAGTGTGAAGTGTGTGGGAAGAACCGGAGGGTTTTTGAGTATGGGTTTTGTTTAGGAAGGAGCCGAAGTGGTATTATGCGAGTTGGTTAGGAGGATGTGACTGCCCGATATTTGTTGGAGTGGATGGCTTTGCATACACCAAGAATGGCCGCTAATGTTGGAGCAAGGTAGGTTCCTGTGCTGTCTAAGCAAGTTTCGTCCCGTTCGTGCTTTTTACCTTTAGCGTATGCGCATCGTTCGTGACGCTAGCTGCCTTTTGGTGTAGAGGGAGCCGCCTGAGGGACACCAATATATTGCAGGACGTGCGTCGCTTGAATGCCAAACGTTGGCGCGCACGCACGTACAGGCCAGGCGGGAGTTCTGCAAGGAACGCTGAGACGCATTCAAGCTGGAGCTCACTTGAATAGGGAAATTA